GAAATCATATGATTTATATATGAAATGACAAAATTTGTGCTACTATTAAACTTGTGTAACGATTGAGTTGTCCCCCCGTAATTTTACTAACCCCTAGGTATTATTCATATAATTTTTAGGTTTAACTATTCAAATTTAATTTTTTTAGATAATCTATATTGTTTAGATAAAATGCTAAACTAGTTATAACAGAAAAGTTTTATGTTATATTTCATCTTTTTTATTAATAATCAAATATATGCAATATTGAAATAGGAAATTTTGGTAAAAATTATAAAATATTAGAGTTTATTGTATGATTTATATAAATATATATATATATATATGTATATATATATGTATCAACCCCAGATTGATGGGAATTTTGTAATTATCTCGGCAGAATTAGCGTTAGACTTAGGATTTATAATAATTTTAGTTAACATAATTTGGGCCAAAATTACAAAAATTCTATTTGAATCGAGAGTGAAAAATTTGTGCTCTTTATTTCTAGCATTTATTTACAACTATCATAACTATATCGAATATATGATTTTAGATATACATATATAGTATATAGTAATAATAATTTATATAATTCATTAAAGAATTCATATACCAAATATATGATCTTAAAACATTTTTTTACGGAATAATTAGGATCGCTATACAATAAACAATGAAAATTTTTTTATTGTTAAATGAAAACTCCTTATTAATTTAAAAAAAAAAAACATAAATATTAATCAGAATTTGTATAAAAAATTCGATGATTACATAGTGTTAATTTAAAAAGTAAAAAATCAGCTTATGAATAACAAAAGTTAAAAAAACGTGGTGATCATAAGAAAATCTGGGTGGTTTTGTTGCTTAATTGGTTTCTCGAGAAAGGTATGGTATATATATCATTAAATTATCGGATCGGTAAATATGCGAAAAAATACCGCGTTTTGAACAATGGTTAAAAAAATTATATAAAATTATTCGAAAGGTAAATTAAAAAAAAAAAAACTAAAATAAAATAAAATAAAAAGAGTGATATAAATGAACGGAGATATTTTTAGAGAGCTTTCGAAAAATAAGAGTATAAGGATTTAGAAACCGAAATTTATGTGAAAAAAATGTAAAAAAAAAACTTAAACTATAGATGCGTCAAAACGTCATAAAAATTCATAGAGTAGGAGTTCTCATTTTATACTATTAAATTGAAATGCGTAATATATTTCAGCTTTTCCATAATGTCAAAGAAAAATGGATTTATAAAGTATCTTTGATTTTAATCTTGATCAGGTTGCTCTTTAGGACGTTCGATATCCAAAAGTCGGGCATCCTTTTCAACAATCAAAGATCTTAACCATTTTATTTCCTTCTCTAGTTCGCGCACCTTATTTTCGAGCACCTCAGCTTTTGCAGTCATGTCTTTAGAAGTTTTTTCGAGAGCTTGTTCACGCAATTTTTTCTTTATACGAAATCTTGCGGAAGCAGCAGTGTTTCGCCGTCTTTTATTTTCTTCAGCTATAAGCCGATATGCGTAACTGTGATCCATCATTTGATGATATGGATGATAATAATTGTGACCATTTATCATCATTGGTGGAGTTACCATTCCATTCTCTTGTGTATTCGTAAAGCAAACAGCTGATTGATTAGGAAGTATTGGTGAACTTTGATTTAAAGTGTCTGCGACGGTATCAGAAAATTGAGCGGGAAATAACGCATCATTTCCTCTTATACAATGTGATATTTTTTGTGGAGGAGATGGATATCCTGAAGGGATGTTAGGTGGACTTGTAGGTGAAGGAGGAAATGATCTAATAGAATTTGACATTGATGAGAATTGATCGAAAAATGGGGTAATACTATCGGTAGTTGATATTGAAAGTAATTGTGGATGTGGAGTATTTGGATGAAATACATGTTGAATTGAAACCGGTCCACTATTTATTTCGGGTGTTTGTTGACCGATAGCATCATCCGGCGTTATTACGCCTGTAGGGAACTCTAATGGATAATGAACGTTTGACAAAATCTCCAATTC